TCGGCGCCGGGGGAGATGATAGCCGAGCCGGCGGCTCCGCACCTCGAGACCGCGACTTGATTGGTTAATGGGATTAGAGGTAATTAGAGCGTTTAAAAGCTCCCTTTTCAACCGGTTAGCGATGATATTTGCAGACTGAATACGCGCCCCGCAATCCCGACCGACTTCTCAGCTTCCGCCTTTACATCCTCACCCGGGCAGCGAGCTGATTATTGGAATGGATAGACAAAGCGACAAGGATACGTGTATGACAAATCGAGTGATCCTATCGGTTCAATCGAATGGTTGTTATATACTGAGAGATACAAATTTTAACGAAGCAGCCCGAGACAATGTTACACTGGAAAAAAAACACATTGGATCTAGAGTCCAGACTCTTAAAAACATCGACAAGAAAAAATACTCTTGATTCAATCAGATTTAAGCTTAAATCAAGAACCAAGTCCAAAGCAAATGGTAAGCTCCCTTAAAAAAAAATCCATGTTTCAGATGAATCATATTTCGAAAAAGTCCAACATGTGGTTATGGAAAAATGGATCGACTGGTGAAACTGCAAAGCGCAGGATTCGGGAGAAAAGTTAAAACAAGCTGCTGGTTCCAACACTACTGTGTTGGAGAGCTCGCCTTCGTGAAACTATTAACATGACAAATTTTTCACACCGCAATAAATAAACTGAATCATTAATAAAACAGAAGATAAGAGTGAGATAAGACAAAATACAATAGAAAAATGGTACAACGAAATTTATTGTAAAGTTGACAGGGAAAGATGAACTAGGACAATTATTGGCAATAAATTTTATTAGTGGATGTACATGGGGCATGGTGTTTCTGATTACTATCTGACACAGTTCCTGACAGTTTTGATGCCTTATTCAGCTAGATGTTGTTTCCACAAATTTATCAAATTATAATGCACGTCCACCTGTATATATGCAAATAAAAAAATAAATAAAATAAACAACAAACTCAGTTTATTTATTTATTTATTTATTTTTTTTTTTATTTTTATATTTGCATATATACAGGTGAATGGTCACTGAATTCAGTGTAATAAGTTTGAGCATTATAATTTGATAAATTTGTGAAAATAACATCTAGCTGTGATCCATATTGTGTTGTTACAGAGTGTGTTGGTAGTGCTGAATGAATTTCGTATTTATGAAATAATTCATGATAAATTGTGTTTTCTTGCTTCAACACGTCATAATTGAAATCTCCTATAATTACAATGAAGATGTTATAAGAACGCAAATTTCTTACGCAGATTGTGAAGTTATGAGTGCATTTCAGAGTTTTCCGATGCGCTCATCGTGATTTTTGAGGCATTATCTATAGGAAACAACTCTTATTTTTGCTCTAGCAAAAGTTTGCAACAGGCCCATTATTAGTCAATGTAACGCATATTTGCTCTGGTTATAAAATGTAAAACTCGGCAAAAAACGTACATCAACAAAAATTCTGTGACCAGCGCATTATCAGATCCAAAAATTTGGCAACATTGTTCTTTCCTCATTTAAACATATGTAAATGTATCGATTCCAGGAGGGGCCAAGTGCTCCGCCAAGAATCGATTATTCAACACAGGTTTAAATGGAAGGAAGGCAGTGTTGCCAAATTGCTAAATAGTAGCCCATTAATATGAGTACATATTACCTTGTACAATCTAATTTTTCAACAAAACTCAACACGAGTCTTTCACATAACAAGTAAATTTGAATCTGTAAACTATAAACCTTCTTTTCCTGCGGACAATCATGTGTAAAATTCTATCACATTTATTCTTCGTCTTTCACAAAATTATTAAGATTTATCTGGAAAGTAAGTATAGTACTTCGTAAAAAATAGGAAGAAAATAAATGAGTTCAAAAAGCAGTACCTGGTTTGTAGAGCGTCTCTTCATTTTATCGGAAATAGAAAAATTCAGGATGTCACTGTCTCATCGGAAAAGAAGGATTTTCCATTACACTCTGTAACCGAGGAAACTGGAAGATTCTCTAATAAGATAGCATAGAGATAGCAGTCAGCTGATAATTTTATCGCAACGGAACAGCAAAAAAATAGGACTTCAGTTTTTGAAAATGTGAACGGAAAATAATACATATAAATAATTTAGCATAAAGGTGAACACATACACAAACAAATTCGTGTTGGTGTGAGTCAAGTCTGCTCGGCCACCGGAAAGTGATGCTCTCTAGTGTAGCAAACGAGGAACAATTAATCCTCAGTTGAATGAGGGAACGGAAATGTTCGACGGAGGAAAACTGTAACCCGCGAAAATTCAACTTTTAGACCTTGAAATCAATGGGATTTTGGCCGTTCCTCCGACGGCAACGAGAACCATCCATTTGTCGCCACGGACACTACCAATGCTAAAAGAAATCGATCGCAAAGAGCTCTCCCGAGTGGGCGAGCTCAAAAGAGACCCGAAAACATCTCCTCTACCTTTGGCTGTGTTACTCACGTAGTGCTTGAAGCACCATAATTTACGAATAAGACAAACGGAAACAAGCACAATATGGGAATAAAGCTATTGAAAGGATGCGCGGCTACGACGGCGTAGAGATACAACTATTCGTACTTGATGGACGTCCATGCTGCATCTGAAAAATTGAAGGCGCGATGAACCGAAGCGTAGGCCTCAATGCTACATGCTGTCAATGAGAGATCGCTCAGATTCGGGAGAAAAGTTAAAAAAGAGGCCGAATACGTGTTTCCTGTGTTCGGCTGTGTTGATACTCATTCTTTCTTCTTTTTTCAGGTTCTTGTCTGATTCTTTTCAGGATAAATTTGCAAACCCACGTCTTAAGCCCAAGTAAACCGCAGCACTGGCTCGGTTCTTTCGGAAATAATGGTGCTTGAATGCGTCTAGTGGCTTTAATTTTTTACGTTTTCTTTAATTTCAGAAGTCTGTCGGCTATTCAATATGTTTAGTTTTGCAATTTTTACTCTGTAAGATTTAGAAACTTTGAATCTGAAAATAGCGTAAACTTATGCTACTTTGCTGAAATTTTCTGAATCTCTCTCCACGTAGGAGATGCCCTACCAGGAAATATCGCATTACGCCCCTTTAACCAGCCAAGGGTCGACGCCCTTAGGTGCAAGCCAGTCCAACCCTGTTTTGATTCATGATCCTTGTATAGATCAGCTAAAATTAACAAGATCTGATCTGCAAGAACAGCAACTCTCTAGGTTCAATTTTAACAAAGATATCGTGCTTTGAACATTCGGTTTATGACGTCAATCACCGCTACAGTGACACTCAGTAGCGTGGCGTGCTTTGCGATATATCGATTGTTATGCCATTTAAACCTATGGAAAAGGATCGATAAACAGGGTGTTCGCAGCGAACACCTTAATAATCGATTCTTTAC